CATAATGTTGTTTTTTCAAACCCTAATGCTCAGTGGAAGATGCAGTATACTCCCCTCAGGCCTAGGTACACCTCCCCCTGCTGGCTGATAATCAAACAACATGGCCTCCATTAGTGGGACTGGCAGGGTGTCCCAATACTAATTACTATCTGCTCACACACCATGTTCCAGTGTTCACGGCATGCTGTTTTGGCAGATAGAGTAAACAAGAAATCAATGTAGTGTACTGTTTTGTACTTGCAAGGAATTAAACAAGCCGTGTGGGATGTCAATAAAGCTCCAGCTTGGGAACAAAATGAAAACATGTAAACTTTAACTTCAGGGACTATTTCTGTTCCCAATGATATGTTGAACACAGGTGGGGCTAATAACATCTAGTATTGCTTTGCTCTATTTAGATGACTCAGTTCCATGGTTATAATTCAGTAAATAGCTACCAGGGCAACCCAACGAACTGAGCCATCCGTGATGCTATTGTTGTCATTGCTGCTTATCACGAGTTTGCTATAGAGTGGTGCCGTGATGAAGTATTTTTGTAGGTCAACCCGAAAGTTAGCATTGCAAGACCTCACTTAACAAAAAGCAACATTTTTTTTTTTTTACATTGGATTTTGGGAAATTGCAGAAAACAAGATCTCTGGTAAAAAGATATATTGAAACATGTTGTTCATCAGGATAACCTTCACATATTAACTCCACTCTTAGAATAGTTGAAGAATCAAATAGCTAATAAAATGCTATAAACATCAACACCGGTTGTTCTTACACTAAGCTAAAGGCGGTCTTTTGTTTGCCGTGATAACGTCTAGTAGTCTCTTAGCCACTTCAGACGTTAGCTTATTTTGGGAAACAAAAAGGAAAACGAATAAAAAGAACTGTTGATTTCTTATTTTGGGATTAGGACCTGCACCAACCTATTTAAATTTGATTCAGACATTTTCACTTTTACTAATGACTTTACTCTTTTGTTTTTCTTTTGCGGTGCAGTCTGCAGTTGCATTTTGAAGTATAGTTTATTTACACACAACATACTCAAGCACAGTTTAAGATGCATATACAACAGTATACTCAAATGCCATATAGGCCTTTCTTATTTTTCAGTTGTTTTGTGTCTGTCTGCATATCTGTCTACGTCTTTCATTCGTCCTTGTCACTTCCAGAGTTGCTGTATAACTTGAAAAATATTCACACACTGCAAAATGTCTCAGGAAAGTGCTGAAGGGAAATCTGCTCCCTGTATTACAATTAACCGGGATAATGGCTTTCTCTCAGTTGCTCTTTAGGAGATTTCATAATTCATTGCAGAGCTTTTAGTCAGAGAATTATTTAGACTTTCCTCAATCTGAAAAACTTCTATGACCAAAAGCTTGGCAATACAATCTGAAATCTGCGATGAGAGAAACTTTGCCAGCCCCTCTATTCTTTTTAATTGTACCATTCAGAGTTGTGGGACACTCATGAATGAATTATAGCAGCACCTCAGGATATAGAACCGACTGCTGGAAAACGATGGATGCTCGTAACTGACTTATTAACTATTTATGTTTTGAACGGTAGCATGTGATGTGACGGTGAAAGGGATGAGGAAATAAATAAGAGCAGAATGCATTAGACATGACAGGATGATATGTTGTTTGCATCATTAGCAGGATGTAATGAAGTCGGGGTATTTAGGTAATGCATGCCTGGCACTTTGGCGACCTTCTGCAACACAGGAACACAAGAGGAAGACACACATCCAGGAGCAATGAGCACAGCTGCAGAATGAGAGTCATTCGACTATATGCATCTGTAATTTGCCAAGAAAGCTGTCTCTGGAACATATGTTTGATCTTCTGATGTTCATGTGTGTGTGTGTTTGCTGGGTCCGGTCATTGTATTTTAACACACCAGGGACATGGGTGTAGTATGTCTATACCAGATGAGCAGTAGGACAAGTTATAATGTCTGCCTTTGAAGCCACTTCCCAGAGGTTAGACGACCCTTTTACTATTCCACCTGCAGTAGCCGCTGTGCTATTTTCAGGACAATTGTTTCATGGAGCCAGGACTTCTCTCATCCTCACTTCTGTCAATTCTGTGTCCTTGAGTAGCCACATTGTCAGCTCCGCGGCTGTCTGTTCTCTCTATGTCTATTCTTTTCATAACGTAGCCATGGAGATGTAGAGCTGTCTCCCCATAGGACACACTCGCACACAGATTCACCAAGGGAATCACTAGGTGTGTGTGTGTGTGTGTGTGTGTGTGTGTGTGTGTGTGTGTGTGTGTGTGTGTGTGTGTGTGTGTGTGTGTGTGTGTGTGTGTGTGTGTGTGTGTGTGTGTCATCATCCTTGAACCAACTAGCCCAAACCAAGAGAATAATAGTTGGAGTGCCTTCAGAGAAAGAGAGAGCTGACAACGAGGAGACAGTGCAGAGGTCTTCCTCATTTGTACTGGAGTCCTCCTCTCTCCATACAACCAGCTGACAGGGGATATTTTTATCAGCCTGGAACAGACTGTGCAGAAAAGGAAAAAAAAAAAATTTGTATAAGCGCAATCCCAGCCAAGGACAAGATCTCAGCGGGATAGTGCTTCGCTGTATTTCTGCATTATCAGAATAGAAATCATTCATAGTTGTTTATGCAGCTGCCTCGCCACTATCCCACACAAGGCCTTCCTCACTTTGTGTCCAATGAGACCGGAAACAGAAAATACAAATAAAGGTGTATTCTTCGTGAGCATCTTGTTTTATTGTTCTTCGTCTTTCTTTCCTGGAAGCCAGTGGGGTTAGAAGTTATAACTCTTGTTGTTCAAATACGAAGACTTTACGTTAGTTGGTTCATAAATATATAAATAAATATCTTTTAATACTTTTTATTTCTTGGCTTTTTTCGTTAAACAGAACTCATATTTTTACATACAGTATGAAATCATTAAAAACTCAAATGTAACTGAAATACAAAATGAAAGAAATGAATACAAATTAAAATCTAAGCAGAAATATACTGTATATTAAAGTTATATTAAAGCTGATAACAAAGCAATGGCTCATACAGTTCCTATTTCATCGTAGGTCGAACGAAACAGAGGGTTGATTTCACACATTTACATTCATACACGCTTGCATACACCTGTTCACATACTTTCCTCTAGACATATGCATATTTACATGTGAGTAAATGGCATTCAATGGAGTAAAAGAAAAAAGTTAGTTAATATGGAGGGTACGTCTTTTGCTCTGAACCCAATTACAGTTAAGGCATGACACAGCTTAAATGTGCGTGAGAGCGGGCGAGGCAGAGTGGGAGCATGAATAAACCATGTCCTAAAGTGATGTCACTGGGCTGCTGTGTTGGCATGTCGGCACTGCTCAGAAAACATGGCCGTCTCTGGAGCATTGTCTGTAATCCAGCATGTCAGAACAGCTAGATGGCTCCTTTATGTAAGCGGTCTCTGAATCTCAGACATCATCTGATATGCATACAGCGGAGAAATAAATACATTTTCCAGCAGTATGAGTATTTTAAGATGATTACGAATAGCATTAGAACAAGCTAATCCATTCTTACCAAGGGCTCATGCTTCCGATTGGCTTGAATGACAGTACTTTCCTTTTTGCTCAAGGATTAGCGTTGAATGCACCTACACGATAAAACAGGAAATGTTTCTATATCCTCAAATGCCATGCAAATCCCATCGCGCTGAATACTTTGTTTCGCATCTGCTTTGAGACTGTCATGGCCAGAGAAATGCTGTTAGATTTTTTCTCTTTTAAGCACCATTTCTTTGCAATGACACAAATACCATAGTGTGCCAAGCTGACAGGGAGATGATCCATTGCAGACGTCGTAATTGAAAACACTGAGAGGGGTTGGACAATTAATCTCTTTCTCTCTGTGTCAAATTTCCATGGAGAAATACCTCGAAATGCAGATAATAGATAAGAGTGTTATTGATTAGATGGGGTGGGTGGAGGTGCAGAGGTTCTCCATCACTAATCTCTCTGGCTGTGACTGCATCTAAATAACCTGCAGAGAGGGATAAACAGGCGCATCCATCATGGGACGACTGTTGCGGACAGTGATGGATGCCCCCGCCCTCCGCCAAGCCCTCACCTCCTGGTCGGGGATAGGAAGTGACACCGGCACTCGGGAGAAATACCTGGCTCAAACATGCCTATAATTTCTCTTTGGTGTGTCTCTTTGTGAGTTTGTACATTTGCCGCCTGTCCTCCTACCCCTTGTCTCTTTGAGTTTGTAGGATTATCCGTCTTGATAGATCCTGTTTGTTTTGTCAAAGAGGAAATTGCTTTTGTGGATTTGTGTGAAAGTGTGCTTGTGTGTGAACTCACCCACATGCCTTTTGTGTATAAATTGATTTGGGTGAGGGACGGTTTCCTCTCTATCCTCATGCCCGTGCAGCGTGAGCCAAATCCCCTGTGCTGCCTGGACCCAGTGAGTAGCCTCTGAGGTGCCAGCCTGATAGATATGGTGTGTGTGTGTGTGCCAGGTTGTGCCTTCCCTCCCCACCCTTGCAGCATTAAGATTGATCCCTCGTTCCCTCCCATTCCTTTCTTTCTCACTCTGTGTGCCTCTGCCTTTATGAGACTGTGAATAGGTGAAGCTCACTGGCTCCAACAGATGGCCGGAGCTACCCTGTTACACTGTCTCTCACACACACACACACACACACACACACACTACTGCCCCGTGAATCAGAGCCTAGAGAGAAAGAGAGGAAGAGGTGAATGTGGCAAGGCGAGAGAGAAGGAACAGGAAACAACACAGTTAGTGGGTCAGTGAGGAACAACAGACAGGGAGGAGGATGGAAAAGGAGAAGGAGCGATAGACAGCAGGAATTAACTAAAAGAGGAGAGGACACATGCTGGAAAAGGGAGTGAGAGCAAAAACTGAATTGTAGATTGAGGGAGCCTTTCTCCTCCCTCTTTCCCTCCCTTTTTTATTTATCTCATGTGAAACCACGCCTCCCTCTTTTCACTTGTCAGTGCATCTATAACAGTGAGCTGTCTGCGCCGGGCTGCATGGGGGGTGAGACGAGCTCCTCACTCTGTCAGCACACACTCCGCATCTGAGCGGACCGGACTGGACTGGATGCTACTGGACTGACCAGAGCAGGTGTGTGAATTTGTGTGTGTGTGTGTTTGTGTGTGTGTGTGTGTGTGTGTGTGTGTGTGTGTGTGTGTGTTGGCGATAGATGTCAGAGAGCAGCATGTGTAGCCCTCAGTGTGTGAGCGCTTGTTCCTCCGCAGGACTTGCTTCCAGAGTAGCATATCTAGAGGGTACAGTGCTGAAGCTTTGCCCTAGTTTACACTTGAATGCTCCTATCCTTTCTGTTCGCCTCTGAGATTTATGCATGGAGTCCCTAACGGCGCACCTCATAAGGGTTAAAGAAATATGCTGAGATCAGATGCACTGGACTCTTTAAAGGAGTATCTGGCTTTGAGTCAGAGCAGTGTGGACAGAAGCTGCTCTATATCTGGTGGAACAAGTTGGTAGTTTTAGGCTGGACTCTGTCGACATGTGCTGTGTCGCCATTAGTTTTTTTTCCCTGACTTATAAAGGGTGTTTGCGTTTGTACACAGTAGCATCCTTTAGTGGGGCGTTACATTACATTGTGTTCAAAATCCATTTTCTGAAAGTAGCCAGTGCAGATTTCACAGCTTTTAGGTGTGGTGTTGAATCCAATTTGTGATTAGTTCTCTTTGTCTTCCTGTTTCACAGCCTGTGGTGTTTTGAAATATGGAACATTCATTGTCTCAGCATTGCTTTGTTTTTACTCAGCCGAATAAAATCCTTACTGTTGCTGAATATTTGTGTCTGTTTAAAATAAGAGCAACAACAAAAACGGTGAAAATATTACTTTTTTAAAAGGCAGGACCGTCTCAGTTTTGGATTGTTTACCTTAAGAGCACCTTAACGTAGAGCTCCAAGAGGAATCCGGCACACAGCGTTCATTCAGGAGTCGCCATTTGAACAGTTGCAGCTGCTGCTATACTGTGCAGCCGGCACGGCTTTAGCCTATGAAGCCAAGTCAATGTACTCACTATCAGTGTTTTGTCAATCTCTTTATGGGTCAAAGGCTGTGTCATCAACAAGCGGCTGTTAAGAGCAGCAGAGCGGATGAAGGGGGGCGAAAACTGACCTACAGGCTAAAATATTTATGATGGAGACAGCTGAACGCCCCTTGCTGTTTGTAGCGATATGGCTGGATGGATGAAAGAATGCAAAGATGGAGGGATGGGTGGAAAGTAAAGAAGATATTCAGAGATATGTTCTTTAAGCATTCATTATTTATCACAGCGCACTCTGCCATGAAGCTCAAACCCCCAAATCAACTGGCCTATTTTCTCACTGAGAGGCCAGTGGACTGGAGGAAGATGCACCTGCTTAGTCTACCTGTCAGCCAGTCCCAGGGCATGTGGAGACTGCACACACACACACACACACACACACACACACACACACACACACACACACACACACACACACACGTACACACTTACACTCATACACACGCTTACACCCACATGCGCACACCCGTATCTAAATAATGTTTTGATTTATATTCACACAGTAAGCCTAAATGCATGGTTACCGTCACTAAAGTATTGGGAAGTGCACCAAAATCACAGTCACTTATTTCCACTGCATTAACCAAAAATACAATTGGTGCACTCACCCTGCATGAATTTATGCTCAACACACACACACATACTTAAACACCCTTATTACAGCTTTTAACCATTTTATTTCTCCCGCATCTTTTTTTCAATCTTGTTCACAGACTCTTTCTGACACACACAAAAAACACACACACACACACAATCCTTGGGAGTAACGACCTTGAGACCTGTTGATGTTGTTTTCAGCAGCCGTGCATGGAATACATTAGAGGCCATGTGGGACTCGAAAATGGGGCGCTTGACATTCCGTTTGTAAAAAAAAATTGCTGGAAAATGTGCATGAGGGCTGGCGATGCAGACGGAGGGAGACTCCGCCATGAATATGTATTGTATGCTAATGCCGCACGCCGAAGCTGTTGATGAAAGCTGTTGATGAAAGCAGAGGACATGTTCCCCCATCGCCACCCTCAGGAGGAAGTGCTATCGACAAAGCCATTGTCGACGCATTTCTGGTCGGGCAGCAGCGCGGTGACAGGTGGCAGATATCGGTGACAGCAGCAGCCAAGGTGACATGGCTCTATGTTCCCCTCACCGCCGACTTGACCTTTTGTGGTTAGACACAGCGAGGTTGGTCCAGAGGGCCCTACAGCTAATGTCTCCCATTCGCATCATTCAGCCCCTTTCAGAGCTGCTTCCTCCACCTGCTCCCCTCCACTATTGATTCACATTTTTTGTTTAACGATAACAGATAACAGCAGTCTAAGAAAGACTGAAATAGTCGTGACGATATATTCTTTTCCCCGGTAGAACAGTTGAAGCACTGAAAAAGAGAAGATCCCATAAAAGCTGACGGAAAGAGATATTTCAATACGTCTTGACTTAATCGTATTGCATATCATTCTGCCAAATACCCTCACAAGTCTTTACTCCAAAAATAAAGATAGCTGAGTTTCCGGGTGCTCATACATTATATGTCACTGGTTAAAAAAAAGGAGAAAAAACACAAAAAGTCCTCTTAGCAACAATTAAATACTGTCATTTATCAGCGTTTCTGGTGCATGATTAATGTAATTGTGCTGCTTCAATAGATATCTATATTGAAATGCATTCTCATACATTAAGTAAGTAGTCACACACTAATCCTGATTACATTTATTCATGCATTTTATCTTAAAACTTGGGAACATAACTCCAACACACGTTAGAAGTATCCTGACAGTGGGTAGAACTGGCATGCTGAGTCCCTGTTCATCTGTAGGCCTATGTATGAGCTGCTTTTAACAGGTCCTGCGATGAGACGGCATCAGACATCAGTGTGTAAATCTCGCTGCTGCTGCTGCTGCTCTCAGCTCTAATGATAGCGAGGCACAGGGGCGCTTTGACTCCACCTATCAAACACTCCTCTCAACAGTGTGCGGAGAGCGCAGAGCAGGTTACGGCTGATAGGAGCAAATAAGGAGAAGCACGTTGCCAGGTGTTTAGAAGTGCATGTGATTGTGTGTGTGTGTGTTTGTATGTCCTGTTTCTCTGTACACAGTGTGATCCCCACGTGTGAACAGCTATTGGACTGCGGTGTGCGAGTTCAATCAGATTTCAATCTCTTCCCTCTATACGTCTGAGCTGAAGCAGCGGAGGTGCCCCATGGGGAAATGTAATTATACCCTGCAGGCCACAGAGTACAGGCTTCACTGCCCCATCCGTCTCAGGAGATACGGCGGATAAAGGCCTCTTCTCACTTGCAATACCAAACGGCAGAGATGTCACTAAAGCCCTTCTATATTCTCAATTTTGGTATGAAATCCAGGATCCAATCTCCTCTTCTAATCAGCTTTTAGATCCCGGGGTTATCTGTGTCCTTTTGCAACAGTTTTGTTACAGTTGTGAATAATTTATGACAGAATTAACTGCCGTTGCTAAGAGCAGTGATTGGGAGATTTTGGAGCACAGCCGAAATCTGACTTCAGTTCAAAGCAGAGTTTATATTTGTCTGATAAGCAAAGTCCTCTCACAACGGGTGTAATTATCGCCATTATTACTGTCATCTGTATCTCGAACCACCTGAGTTCCTCACATGTGGATTTTAAGTGTTTTTATTGATCAATATGCTTTAAACTCCTTCTGTGCTGTCTTTTATGACCCCGTGTCCACTGCTGCTCGCCATTGGTTCTCAGTGAGGTGCGTGCTGAGATGGTGTGCATTAGTGAGGCCAAACAAACAGACACACCCCACTCTCCTGGATTTAGGAAAACAATCAATGAGAGCACTCTGATAACAGCAGTTTAAGTGGCCCATTGATGTTACGATTAAATGAATGCAGGATGTAGCGGTGGTGGTACAAACCAAATATAAACAGATTATTTTCTGTGCTGGAATTCTTTTCAAATATACAAAACATCGGCCGAAGCCGTCTGCTCTGTTCAGGCTTATAAAGCGAGAAGAGAAACAAATGAAACAAAAAGAAGAACAATGAAAAATGTAGGAGCACCGAAACAGCGGAGAAGAATTATCAGCAGTGCGCTGTGACTGGCAAGTTGAAAATTGTACCCCGTGAATCTCAGCGTGTCTCCGTTTCATCACGTTGTACTTCGTCATGGTAACTTACCAGAAGTGCATCCGTGCCAGAACACTTCTGTCTTCTTAATTTCTCCGATTTGTTTCACTCCGGCTCTACCTTAATCTTTATTTCTGCCTTCGTCACCCTTTCTCAATCCTTGTGTTTTGGCCTGGTCAAAACTGCAGTTACCCACCCCCCCCGCCGCTCGTGTCCCCCCCTCCCTCCTTCATGCCTCTCCCTCAGGGTGTAGCAGCTATTGTTGTGCCTAATAAGGTTTATGGTATTACAGATCTCTGAAATTGGATTTTCTCACTCCACCAAAGCAGTGGGATTACGAGTTTAAGGCCGGGTGCATCGGGGCACTAGTGACCTGTTTCTGAAATTCTTCTTTTTTCTGACTTCACCCTGAAGGTGGGCAGATCAAGAGATTAATGTGGCAATAGCTCCGGAGAGAGACAGGAAGACTGGCAGACTCCTTGTATCTGTATTAGTTACCTGGCAATTAAATAGATTCTGAGTCAGACAGCTTTTTGGCTCTTACGCCTGGATTTCTGTTTCTCTCACGTCGTCTACTCTCACACACTCCGCTGTGTTTGATCAAACTCTGATCGAATGAATCTTTTAATCTTCCTCGCCCGACTCTCAGACACATTTTCTGCATCCAAAGTAGCCCAATTCATTCTCATCCTCAAAATCTGGCCGCTGGTGAAGCAATTGATTCTCAGCCATGTACAGGGATTTGAACTGTCTACCTCAAGCTTATGTTTAATGAACTGTGGGATTCCTTTACTAACTTTGATGTCCCGTCCCCAAAAAACGACCTGATTACCAATACGAGCGATATTGTTCGGGTGCGGCTGAGCATTACATTCTCCTGGAACTGAGCAGCAGTAGACAAAAGTGAGTAATGAAGAGGGAACGCATTGGAGACGGTGAGC